AAAAGCCCAAACCCTTGAGTCACAGATGGCTAAGTCATATTAGTGGTGTCTTGGTTCAGCAAGGGTTGTCAAAACATAGTAAAGCCTGGTTTGTCTGAAAAGGGTTCCATGGTTGAATGATTTCTGTTAACTAGCTTGCTTTAGAAATGCTGCCTTCTTCCCAAGAAAATCGCAAGGGGGCGCAAGAACCCCACTTCTCTGCAGTGTACTCAGCATTATTGACAGTTGCCAAATCAGAAAAAAGAGAAACACTAACCAGGTGTGAAGTTAATGAGACTGTTCTACAGAACACTATCTATGAGGGCAACATCGTGTGTGTTTAACTGGCTTGCACAATGACTGGCAGATTATCATGTTGTTACCTGTGCTTAATAATTATTTTCAGAGCCAAAATGACGGGTTTCCTCTTATTTTTCTTCTCATTAGTGTTAAATGGTTGAAGTGAGGATTTTATAATCTAAACAGCAAAATCATTCCCATTTAAAAGCTGAGTACAGCTCACTTCTAGTAAGGAGAGAGATTTTACCACTTTGGTATAAACCAAACACAGGTCAATGGAAACCAATGGCATGAAATATAGATTTTTTAGTTCAGCCCATCTCTGCACTCACCCACACATCTGGACTCTGTGCATGTGTAACAAGGTGCCAAGTCAAATACCCTGGAACGACAAGGCCTGGGAGGGCAGTGTAGCAGATCAAAACCTGCCCTGGTCTAAAAGGGAAGGGAACGTGTGCAGGAAACTATCTTCCAACCATTTTAAAGTCTTACAACTAACGCTAGGATCACTGCTGGGATCTTTTACCTATAATTATAAAGGTGCCTCCAGGGATGTTTTTAGTGGTACAAAATGTTCAGAGACATTCTGGGAGAAAAGTCTTAGGTCAGTGGTTTTGAACCTTTCATTAATTTTTCCCCAATGGACTAATGTTTTGAAAGATTTTTGTCTATCAAATTCCATGTTAAAAATAATTTGTTCCATATGTGTGACTGCTGATCCAGATTTTATCCAAAGATCAGTAATTTTAAGAAGGTTCATAATATTATGAAATACACAAATCTTTGTTGCAGTTGTAATACTAATAAGCAACAAAGTTAAGTAACTGTACAGACACTTGAACACTGCTTTCTGCTACTGATCATCATTCTGGCCATCCGTCTGTATATAACCAGGACACATCTATGTGATACGTGGCTTCATAACATCATTTCATTACCAATAAAGTTCTCTCAAGTTCTGTGTCATCAGCTACCAGAGCTTCTGAATAGCTAAACTGTTTCAGTTTTACTGCCCTGAGTTGCTGTAATTCTAGTCAAATGCCAAAAATCTCAAGCCCTTCTTAACTGTTATATTCTATTTAGAAGTTTTGGGAAATGTATAAAATATAGTTAAAGACTTTTATGGACTTCAGGAACATAAGAAACACTGTTCAGGACCTATGGTCATAAGGGATTTTATAGACATTTTTCTTTTTTATTCCAGTGCATTGTGTACTTGGGTATGCAAATAAATAACCCATTTAGAATCTTACTTAAATAGTTTAGAAGTATCCAATATACCTTAATTAGAATTAAAAAAAAATCAAACTTGCTCTTCAAAATTTGGAAATCCATAGAAACTTAGGGCTGGGAGAACATGGGGATCATTGAGTTTAACTTTCTCACTTTTCGCATGAAAATACAGAAGAACCTCCATAGCTGACCACCTCCTTACATTCACTACCCCCTTAAGTTGACTTAGTTTTCATAACACTGGACATCACAACCAGTACATAGGCCTACTTCCTTATGCTGACCATTCTGTATATTGACTAGTTTGTTAACAGTCCTTTGGGTGGTCAACTTACAGAGGTTCTGTTGTATAATTTTTTTTTTTTTTTTTTGGCCAGGGCTGGGTTTGAACCCGCCACCTCCGGTATGTGGGACCAGTGCCCTATTCACTAAGCCACATGGGCTATCCATTTATTTTTTTTTTTTTTGAGACAGAGTCTCAAGCTGTCACCCTGGGTAGAGTACTATGACGTCATAGCTCACAGCAACCTCCAACTTGAGCTTGAGTGATCCTTTTGCTTCAGTTTTTCTACTTTTAGTAGAGATGAGGGTCTTGCTTTTGCTCAGGCTGGTCTCGAACTCATGAGCTTAGGCAATCCACCCTTGGTCTCTCAAAGTGCTATGATTACAGGTGTGAGCCTTTTTTTTTTTTTTTTTGGTGAGACAGAGTCTCTCTCTGTTGTCCAGGCTAGAGTGCCGTGGCATCAGCCTAGCTCATAGTAACCTTAAACTCCTGGGCTCAAGAGACCCTCCTGTCTCAGCTTCTTGAGTAGCTGGGGCTACAGGTATCCACCACAACATCTGGCTAACTTTTCTATTTTTTAGTAGAGATAAAGTCTTGCTCTTGCTCAGGCTGGTTTTGAATTTCTGAAATCAAGTGATCTTCCTGCCTTGGCCTCCCAGAGTGCTAGGATGAGCTATATAACCTTTTTGGATCTTAAATGACTTTTAGTTATTTGAAAAGCCATAAATCCCAGTTTTTCCAATTTCCAATGCTTTCTGGCGATCCATGCAATATTTTAGTGTATATAATAATTAATGATAAATAAATAAGTAGAAGTATATAAATAATTATGTATTATCTAAATCATCAATTTCAATTTTGTCTAATTACTACCTACAATAAATAGTATGTTCTAATTTGCAATCTGGTATCTACTCTAACACAACTAAACAAGTTTTAAGCAACAAAACTTATTCTTACAACATATTGGAATATACTTCCACGAAATTGATTTTATGACTCAATGGTGAGTCTTAGGTCAAAGTTCAAAAAACAAAGACCATACATTTTGCCCTCTAGCTGTGCTGATTTTATGTTGATTATATATTCTCACATGATTCTCTAGTTGTTTCATTTGGGTTAACATTGCCATGTTTACAACCTCCTAATGAGGTTACAGTAGATGCCCAGTAAAGACTTGTTAAAAGTATGGCTTAGCACCTGTAGCTCAGGGGCTAGGGTGCCAGCCACATACCCAGAGCTGGAGGGTTCGAATCTAGCCTGGGCCTGCCAAACAACAATGACAATTACAACCAAAAAATAGCCAGGCACTGTAGTGGGTGCCTGTAGTCCCAGCTACTTGAGAGGCTGAGGCAAGAGAATCGCTTAAGCCCAAGAGTTTGAGGTTGCTGTGAGCTGTGACATCAGGGCACTCTACCAAAGGTGACAAAGTGAGACTCTGTCTCAAAAAAAAGACTTGTTAAAGTACATTTATGCATCTCTGCTCTCTATTGCCGAATTTAACATTACCTTATTTCTGTTCATGGATTGCAGTGGCAGAAAAGAAAAAAGGAAAGAAGCTTGATAAAACTCCCATTTTCCCCCTTATTCTCATCAAACCTTTTCCACTTAACATGGAGAAGCCATCTGTTTGGGGGTGAGGCAGCAATGGCTGTTCTGATTACAACTGAACAAAATGATGTTGCTTTTTTTTTCTTACATCTGGGGGTTTAAGATCAAAGTGAGAAGGCTGGGAGTGGTGGCTCAGACCTGTAATCCTAGCACTCAGTGAGGCCAAGTGGACGGATTGCCTGAGCTCAGGAGTTTGAGACCAGCCTGAGCAAGAGCGAGACCCCTGTCTCTAAGAACAGCCAGGCGTTGTGGCGAGCACCTGTAGTTCTAGCTACTCAGGAGGCTGAGGCAAGAGAATCGCTTGAGCTCAGGAGTTTGAGGTTGCTGTGAGTTATGAATAGGGCGACAAAGTGAGACATTGTCCCCCGGCCAAAAAAAAAAAAAAAAAAAAAGATCTAAGTAAGAAAATATCACACTCCTAGATGCTACAAGAAAGGGTCTTTGAGAAGAAATCTATGATGAGTATTATTCAAGAATTTCTCAAGATTCCTCACAAAAGCAAGTGTGCAGGGATCATCTTGACCGTAAGAAGCCCTGAGTCCTCTCTTCCTGCTGGTTTCTCTTCCCTTTTGTCATGTGCCCTGGAGACTACTCCAAAACAATGGGAAGGAAAATGATGGGAAACAGACCCCTAGGAAGCCCTTTACTTGCTAACAATGTTTCTATTAACTCCACAAATACTCAGTGAGTGCTAACTAAATCCCAAGAAGGATATTTTATTTATTTTTATTATTATTAATTTTTGAGACAGTGTCTCAAGCTGTCCCCCTGGGTAGAGTGCCATAGCATCATAGCTCACAGCAACCTCTAACTCCTCGGCTTAAGCGATTCTCCTGTCTCCACCTCCCAGGTAGCTGGGACTACAGGTGCCCGCCACAACGCCCAGCTATTTTTTGGTTGCAGCCGTCATTGTTGTTTGGCTGGCCTGGGCTGGATTCAAAATCGCCAGCTCAGATGTATGTGGTTGGCGCCTTAGCTGCTTGAGCCACAGGTGCCGAGCCCAAGCAAGATATTTTAGACGTTGAATGATACTGTGATGAGTGGGCAAGCCAGACCTGGTCTGCCTTCGTGGAAGGGTATGATCTAGCATAGAATGTATAGCTGGGAGTGGTGGCTCACGCTTGTAATCCTAACACTCTGGAGAGCAAGGCAGGTGGATTGCTCAAGCTCACAGGTTTAAGACCAGGCTGAGCCAGTGTGAATCTCTGTCTCTAAAAATAGCCAGGCGTTGTGGTGGGCACCTGTAGTCCCAGCTACCTGGGAGGCCGAGGCAAGAGAATCACTTGAGCCCAAGAGTTTGAGGTTTCTGTGAGTTGTGATGCCACAGCACTTTACCGAGGGCGACAGAGTGAGACTCTGTCTCAAAAAAAAAAAAAAAAATAGAATTTATAAAAGTGGTATTTGTATTCTTCTTTTTTCCCCACACTAATTCTTTTCTCACAGTTCTTACACTGAAAGATAGACTTGTAAAAATTCTGGCTTATTTTTACCAAGAAGGACGTTGATAGCATTCAGAGTATGGAATATCAGCACAATTCAGTGACACTTGAGTAAATTCCCTTAGGTGGAAAAGATTGTGCAGGGACTCACACACCTTGAAGTATAAGGTTCCCTTCTCTTTGACAATGGCAGCCTGCTCCAATTTTTCTTTGGTATCCATCTCCCAAGATTCTTTGGCCTGTGTGTAAATTTGTGACAACAGTTAGATGAACAGGGAAGGAAAAGCATCAGTTGACGTCATTAGAACAAGCAGGAGCTACTTCTAGTGTATGCTCAAAACTAAAAACACTCTTGCTGTTGAGATTGTGCATCACTGCCGATTTACTACCAGGCTAATTCTTTTTGTGTTGTTTTAAGAACTCAACTTTCCATGATGACCAAGCTGTAGCTTGATATACGCTGCTCAAGAGGGAGGGCAAGGCAAAAACACAGGAAGCTGAGCACTGTTAAAAGTGCATCTTGAGAATTATAAGGTGAAACTACACAAAGCTAGGGCCTTGTATTTTCCTCTTACAGATCTTGCTAAGTTGTTTTTCTCAAGCCTCAGTTTTTCAACTCTAAAATGGGAACACTATTGTAATCAAATCATAGCTGCATATTCACATAGAATTTTCTTTTCTTTTTCTTTTTCTTTTTTTTTTTTTGAGACAGAGCCTCAAGCTGTCCCCCTGGGTAGAGTGCCGTGGCATTACAGCTCACAGTAACCTCCAACTCCTGGGCTCAAGCGAGTCTCCTGCCTCCGCCTCCCAAGTAGCTGGGACCACAGGCGCCCGCCTCAATGCCCGGCTATTTTTTGGTTGCAGTTGTCATTGTTGTTTGGCAGGCCCAAGCTGGATTCGAACCCACTAGCTCTGGTGTATGTGGCTGGCACCTTAGCTGCTTGAGCTACATGCACCAAGCCTCACATAGAATTTTCAAATTTCAGGTCAAGTGGTTCTCTTGCTACTCTAAAATAACCAGACATACTAAAGCCTCCAAACTGTATCAACTTGAAGATGTATACTTGGGGAATTTCAAGTCAAACGTATAATTAGAGGGTAAAGCTCATGCAATGATATCACTTCAGAGCCATAAATAAATGATAGCATTATTGTCTGCTAGTCTGTAGTATGATTATTATTAGTCTTCTTCATGAAAGATACAAATCTAGAAATAACTGAATTGATATATATATATATATATATTTACAGCTGGTTTTAGAAGGATCATAAAGAACCAAGAGAACCACCTGGGATCCTTTAGGGAAAGTGACAGTGGGTGTGTGGTCAGCGCTATTTATTGCATATGAATGAGGAAGTTTAAGTAGGTAACTATAAAATTCTATTCAAAAGACAATTAGTATGTATTCCCAGTGTAATAGTCCTCCTCACCCTCTTTTTTTTTTTGTCAAGACAGAGTTCTACCCTATGCCCTGAGTAGCTCACTGCAATCTCAGACTTGGGCTGTGGGCATCCTGCTGCCTCAGCCTCTAAAGCTGCTGGGATTACAGGCACCTGGCTGGGTTTTTCTAGTTTTTTCATAAGTTGGGGTCTCACTCGCCCTCAAGCCCCACCCCTCTGCCTTTTTAAAAGTGAATAATGAGAGGGTTACTAGTCTTTCTGGCAACCCATGTTGCTTCTTAATGTATCAATAATTATTTGGCAACAATGTAGCTCAATTATTCAAAAACCTGGTTACACTCTGATCCTGGGTTTTGGCACCAATCCCCTGATCTAGTTCACAAGGGCCCTTTGTAATTTTTATGGGCTTCAGTCTTTATGGAGGATAAATATATTCCTAAGACTATAGGGCAGAGAATTTAATCACATTGCCTCCAACATCACATACCTTCCCGTGGTTTCAAATATACCATGCAGCACTGCATGAATGTACTCTTGGAGTGATGACAGGGCACAGGTATGTTGTTACATGCCACAGTGAGATGTTCCTAAATAAGCAGGATCCACTGGACCATGGGGGGGGAGGGGCAAGGGGTTACTTTATAGAAATGGAAATAGAGCCTCATGCTTGTAATCCCAGTTTTGGGGGAGGCTGAGGCCAGGAGTTCAAAACCAGCCTGGGCAACATAGTGAGATACTGTCTCTATAAAGAATAAAAAAATTAACCAGGCATAGTGGTGCACTCCTGTGGTCCCAGAGACTTGAGAGGGTGAGGCAGAGAGATCACTTGAGCCCAGGATTTCAAGGTGGCTACAGTGAGCTATGATCACACCACTGCACTCTAGGCCTGGGCAATGGAAGAAAGGAAATAGGAAAGTTAAAAGTCTAAACAACCAGCTCGGCGCCTGTGGCTCAAGCGGCTAAGGCACCAGCTACATACACCTAAGGTGGCAGGTTCAAATCCAGCCCGGGCCCACCAAACAACAATGACGGCTGCAACCAAAAAATAGCCAGGCGTTGTGGCGGGTGCCTGTGGTCCCAGCTACTTGGGAGGCAGAGGCAGGAGACTCGCTTGAGCCCAGGAGTTGGAGGTTGCTGTGAGCTGTAATGCCACAGCACTCTACCCAGGGGGATAGCGTGAGGCTCTGTCTCAAAAAAAAAAAAAAGAAAGTCTAAACAACCACATGCTAAAGATTACTTGTCCCTTATGAGAAAAACATAATATGCTATGAAGACAGCATAAAGAATCAGTGCTGAGCTAGCGGGCCTTCAGAAAAGGTTACTGGGCTCGGCGCCTATAGCTCAACCGGCTAAGGCGCCAGCCACATACACCTAAGGTGGCGGGTTCGAATCCCCAGCCCGGACCCGCCAAACAACAATGACGGCTGCAACCAAAAAACAGCCGGGCGTTGTGGCGGGTGCCTGTGGTCCCAGCTACTTGGGAGGCGGAGGCAAGAGACTCGCTTTAGCCCAGGAGTTGGAGGTTGCTGTGAGCTGTAATGCCATGGCACTCTACCCAGGGGGATAGCTTGAGGCTCTGTCTCAAAAGAAAAGGTTACTGGACAAGAAGTGAAGGTCACAACCAGAGCATTTGTTTGTTTGGGGAACATAAAGTGGGAGGGGTAGGACTAGAACACTACTACTTGGAAAAATTCCAAAGCAGTCCTTCCCTCATTTTCTCAACCTAAAGGTACAAGCCTATAGGACAAAGCTGTTTAAGTCTAGCAAAATATATACAGTCACGTTTCTAGTCAAAAGCTTAATGTACAAAACAGGGAGATATGTGGGAGCACCATGTGGGAATAAAAGAAGGAATATAAGATGCAGTCCTTGAGGCTCTAGGGTGGCTGGGTCTTTGGAAATGCAGGGGGTGGTACATGTTGCTTGTGCCAGTGCAACTGCTGCTGGAGCCCCCACAGGTGAGCCTGAGATGGAAACATGGGCAAGAACAGATACTGTTTCTGGAATGAAAGGCAACTGCCAAATTCTCTCTTCTCCACCTGGATAGGTATGAAAAGAAAAGGCCTCGGGTTGGCAGGTTTTTTTCCTTGTATCCCTGGGCCACAGGGCTGGTGGTCCCTGTGGCCCTGCAAAAATTGGGATAACTACTCAGAACCCCAGTACAGGCCTCCTCATGACTCCTGGGAAGGGTACGACACGTTCAGCACTGGAAAGCTGCACCCTACTCCCCCAAGGAGCTGCTTGGCAGAATGTGAACCTTTTTGTCCTCAACCCAGGAAAAAAAAAGTACAAAAAGAACAAGTCTAGGAACAAATAAGGGAACAAGTCTTGGATTCTGCCCAAAAAAGTTTTAAAAAAAAGAAAAAAGCTGACACATAGGAACAAAATAAGAACATCGAGCTCCTCGGCTGTGTGTCAGCTGTGCTATGTCAGTCGTCCCATACTTTAGTAGCTGTGTTGGAGACAAAAGACAAACTTGATAATGAAAAGCACAATATACAAATAAACCCCATCTAGCTCCACCACCCACTGATATAAAATGCTGATTCACAGGAAGTAGATGGACAAGGAATCTACCATGATTTGAGAGAAGTTGGTATTTTCTCACCTTTTCGAAACTCTTAAGCGTAACTTCATATATAAGCTCAGCATTGGGTTCAATGCCAAATTTAGGCTTCCCTGCCTCTCCAAAACCGTATCTGAAATGGACAGTAAAAAATAAAACTTTAAAAGAATTGGTGTATTTCCAGGCACTTCCTTCAGTATTTTCAGGCATTGTATTAACAAGCACCATACATCAGAAACCCTGAAGACAAACCAGATGTTGATGTGAAGACACAGCACCAAATACCACTGCTGTGGTTTAGTCAGAAACCAGGCTAGATGTAGTTTTCTTTTCTCCTTCACATTCAACACGTAATGCAACACCTGTACTCCTTAGGACAGCTTGCTTAATGGGATTTTAAATGTCACTGCCTTTTTCTCTGACTTTATATCTAGTTCTTTTTATAAAACAGCCATCATTTAGCTATTAGGAATTTCCTCCTAAGCTTTATCAGCAAGAAGGCCGGAGAAGACACAGGCACTATAATTGTCACAGTGGTGTTTGTTAGAGGTATGTTTTAGTTGCTTTTAACTTTATTTTTTTTTAATTTTTATTAAATCATAGCTGTGTACATTAATGCAGTCTAAGCTTTTAACTTTAAAGTGCTGTCACCTTCCAATAGTAACAGACAGATAAGTGTGTGTGATAAGAGGGGGAGTAAGGCTTACAAAACAGGAAAGAAATAAGTTTTCACAGTATTTCTTTAAGATTTTTAAAAAGCATGCTAGGAAACACAAATAATATAACAAATACATAATCTAAAATGGCAGCCCTAGCAAGCTCTTCAAGAGAAACACCCTTATGGCTCTGTACCTACCTATCATATTGTAAAATGCCCAATGCCAAAACTTACTGAATAAAATAACTAGGGTTATATAATTTGTTTTCTGGGGAGATCATTTAAACTCTCTAACAAATTGAACATACTCAAGAAGCAGATATTTACTAGAATTTACTAGAACTCTACTGCAGCTCTGTCTCCAATTCTCTCTGAGCAAAGGGATGAGAGTGGGAATACTCCCATCTTACTGCTTATACATACCTCTTTCTTTACCCTTTGCCTGAATTTTCCAGGAAAAAAAAATGCTTACTCACTCACTTCCACTATTACACAAGAAAATGGAAGCTGCAGCGAGAGCCACAGAGATACAATGAGAGCTGGTGGGAATGAGGTGTGGTGGTTTTAATAGCAGGGCAAAGGGTATCCTCAGCAAAAAAACAAAAAATGACATAATTACCAGTGGCCAATTTTAGGAAGTGGTGGCTAGTTTTCTACTTTGAGCTTGTAAATCTATGGACCTTGTATTTCATTTTTGCTATCTGGTAAATAAAGAATATTCCTTTACTGCTAGAGACTAGATAGGTAGGTGAGTCCTACATGCACGCATTTGAGAGCATGTTGTGTTTGGAGTCCTATACTAAGCAGGTATACATGTGACAGATGATCTAGCACTTGCCTTAAACCAGCAGCTCTTTTTCTTTCTTTTTTTTTTTTTTTTGACAGAGCCTCAAGCTGTCCCCCTGGGTAGAGTGCCATGGCATTACAGCTCACAGCAACCTCCAACTCCTGGGCTCAAGCGAGTCTCCTGCCTCCGCCTCCCAAGTAGCTGGGACCACAGGCGCCTGCCACAACACCCGGCTATTTTTTGGTTGCAGCCGTCATTGTTGTTTGGCAGGTCCGGGCTGGGGATTCGAACCCGCCACCTTAGGTGTATGTGGCTGGCGCCTTAGCTGGTTGAGCTATAGGCGCCGAGCCCAACCAGCAGCTCTTAAGCAGGATGCTTTTAACCCCTCATCCCTCTAGGGGACGTTTGGTAATGTCTAGATACATTTCAGGTTGTCACAATTAGAAAGGTGCTACACTTACTGGTATCTAGTGTGTAGAGGCCAAAAACACTGCTAAATATCCTACAATGCACAGGATAGCCCCCCACAACCATATCCAGCCCCAAATGTCAATAGTGCTGAGTATAAGAAAATCTACCTTAAAGGAACTCACAAACAGGGGTCCTGTGGCAGGGGTGGGGAGAGCAGGGGCTGGATCAAGGGAGGCACCCAAGTGCCCTGACTATTATTGATGGGATGAAAGAAGACTAACAGAGGACATTATTTCTACAATCTTTCCTGGATTAAAATGAAGCAATTCTGTCAAGAAGTATGTGGAGCATGTCATCCTGAAGCAGCATCAACTCTCACCGAGCTGTTCTGGGACTTCCATATTATACAGAGAGCAGCCTGACTCAGGATAGATCAGTATGGGCAAACAAGAAACCAGGGCACCAAATTCATCTTACTGAAACATAAAATACCACAATGGAATTCCAGGACTTATCCAAAAGATAGCTGGGCTATAGTAACAGAATGAATTCAGTATTGATGTCTTTGAATTAACAGTTGCCTCCAGAGTTCAGAGATACAAACAATGACTATTCATGACCATTAAGCCTTTATGTGTGTACAAGAGGCTCTTGTGTGACAAGGTCTCATGGCTCCCTTTTTACAGATGAAGAAACTGAGGCTCAGAGAGAAGTGCTTCCTGAGAAGTCACACAAAGAAGCAGTGGCAGAGCCCAGATTTAAACTCAGTCCTTGTGTGTCTTCAGAAAACTGTTTAGTTTTGTGACCTACACTGCCTTATAATTAGACACTATTGCTCTTGGCAGCCTGTGTTTTTGTCTGGGGTTGGTACAGGACAGAAATACAAGGAAAGGAAGGAAAAGAAAAAAGTTAAAACTATCCACACTTTACCTAAAGCAAAAAAGATTACTCAGCCACTGTACTTAAAACGACATAGAGGAAAGACATTGTTCCAATGCGAGCAAAAACTGGGTTCTTTGGAAGTATTTTATGAATTCCTTATTATGAAAATATTCTGCCAAAAAGTCTACCAGAGTAAAAGAAAAGGTATGTCTTGAAATTTTTGGAGAATGAAATACAGATGACACTAGGAGCTTATATTTCCAACAGCTGTATTTACAATAGTCATATCAGAGGCAATGCTCTGCAGAAGTGGGACTCTGAAGAAAACAAGTAAATTCATTGCACGCACCACAAACACGCCTGGTGTGTAGTGTGTGCACATGTGGTGTAATTTTCTACACACGTGGACAGTATCATGCGACGCACATACAGTCTCACGTTGCACAGGTTGTACTCTATGTAATTCTGCAGCATACCAACTGGCACCTGGAACAGAAATAACATGTTCCTAACGACGCTAAATTATACAAACTTTTATTTGTAGAAATCTATGAAAACTTGCTGACTACTTTTATGCCTGAACAAAATATGAAAAATTTTCCATATGTGAAAATGGGATTTTCTTTTTCTTGTGTTCTGAGGGTAGGATGGAAGAGAAACAGCCATCACAACAGCAATAACGGCTAATCTCCTGAGGGACTGTGTGCCACATATTTTGCTGAGTGCTTCAGGTGCATTATGTCATTTAGTCCTTCACAATGTGATGAGGTAGATGCTGTTATTCCCTTTTATAGAAGGGGAAACTGAGGCTTCGAAGAGTTAAGTGCTTTGCCCAGGTGCACACAGCTGGTGAAAACAGAGCAGAGTTTAACCAATTAGGATACGACAAACAGTTTAGTCCTGTAAGAACTATCTGTGTTAAAAAATACAAGGATAACTTCTGTTTCTCTCTGCCACTAAACCTGAGATATATATCCCCACAACCGCCTTGTCAGCTAGGTTAAAATATAATGAACTAAATCATAAAATACTATACGCTCACAATACGTAAAGAACTTATCCTTAATGAAAACATACATTAGACATCAATCCCTCCCCTGAGTTTAGAATTGCTATAATTTTGGAATGTTGATTAAAAGTAATGAGAGATTTATATGGATATTAGAGGAGATAGTTTTCTCTATGCTCTACTGGATGAAAAAAAGTTCCTTCCAGAAACAGAGAATTAGCTTCACCTGAGAGTGAACTGCAACTATAAAGTAAAGAGATACATGGAAGTGGGGCTACAACAGTGTTAAAAGGAATAGGGTAGAGAAAAAGAAGGCAAATACAAGGGTGCTTCAGTGCTCAGGGTAGTAGAGCGTTTGGGAAGGATTTTCAAGTGGTAATGGCATGGCTAACACATCACCTCAAAAATATGATTATGAGTCAGGTGTCAGGGCAAAAGTAAATTGGCCACTGGATTAGAAGCTACACAAAGGCAAAAGACTATACAAAAGGCACGGTACTACCTATGGGCAAAAGCAGGTCATTAGAATTCTCAATAACTCAAAATTCTACTGTCTGAAATCCATGGCGCCAGACGGAGGATGTACTAGATCAACAGTTGTACTTTCATGCAAACAATCAAAATACCCTCATTTCTCTCAGGGGTCTATTTCTCAAGATAGAAGGGTTAGATAAATGGTATAATTTTAGATCTAACAATAATACCAAACATTGTGTTCACAAGAGACTGTCAGTGTCTGATAGTTCTAAGCCTGGAAGTGCTAATGGATATCCTTATAATGGAAAAAATGTAGGCAAAAAATGAGTCATCTCCGTTGCCTTCAGATCCAGGAAGAACACCCTTTGTGTAGGGACTCTCTATAAGAACAGGTGGCACAAATTCAAGTGGTAGTAAATCATTCAAGGGCTGCTTTGAGTCCCATCCTCCCATGTTTTACTGTCTCCTGCTTAATTTAGAGATAAGGGGAAGAGAGGGCAAGAGAACCACATGTAAGAAGGGTCAATAGCTGCCCAATATGGTGGGCAAAACAAATAATACAAAAAGCAAAACTAGTCTTTCCTTGACACACATCAATCAAGTAAACATGTTTATAAACCTCCATGATATTGTAAGGCCCATTAATTTACCTGATGAGGAATTATAGCCTGCTTTCTTGCTATTGTCGTATCAACTTCACTGAAAACGTCAAAATGTTGAATTTTGAAAAACGAGCATATCCTTGATCTATAGGTAACTTCATTGTGCTCTGAACTGTGATGCTGCTTACCGTGGTCCAAGATATAAAATACATTGTTCTTCTCGTTGCATTTTCTCCAGGGCTTTGTCAATTCCGATAGGAATGTCGTGGTCTTCACCTTCACCAACAGTGAATACCACATTTCTGCGATCAAACATCCTTCCGCCACAGTGGCCTTCCAGATGAACTGAGGGTGAGGAGAAAGGCTAGTTAACAAAGGGGCCCCTCAGGACTGGCTAATTTAGTGGGGTGATAAGTGAGGCCAAGAATGCAGCAAATGCCATTTCCCCTTTCTCATTTCATCAAGAGACACACATGTCATATCTTGCTGAAGCTTAGTCTACTCAGTCCAAAAATTTAAGAGCAACCATATTTTCTTTCTGTTTTAAGCTGTACTTATAATTACTGACAAACTGGAAACACAGGTTTAATCTAAGCCTACTATAAGAAGTTTCCTCATAGCACAAGGTCAAGAACAATTTGATTATTTACTAGATAATTATCAAAATTCCACAAATTTAATTTCAAATATATAATAGCTTAAATACATTATACAACTGCAAATTGGCTTCAGAGCTTAGGCAAGAAAAAACAACCAAGTGGCTATTTCCCTGATAATATGCAAAGGTTAACTGAATATAGCAGCTCTTTAAAAGTTCTAATCTCATTCATAAATATATTTGAATAAGAATGGAAAATCTAGGGTGGCACTTGTGGCTCAAAGGAGTAGGGTGCCCGCCCCATTTACTGGAGGTGGCGGGTTCAAACCTGGCCCCGGCCAAAAACGGCAAAAAAAAAAAAAAAAAAGAAAGAAAATCCAAAGGCAACATCAATAACTAATTTAGCTGTATCCTTTGGTAGAAATAATAAATGTAGCCGGGCATGATGGCTTTCACCTGTAATCCTAGCACTCAGGTAGATCGCTTGAGTTTTTTGGGTTTTTTTGTAGAGACAGAGTCTCACTTTGTTGCCCTTGGTAGAGTGCTGTGGCATCACACAGCTCACAGCAACCTCCAACTCCTGGGCTTAAGTGATTCTCTTGCCTCAGCCTCTCGAGTAGCTGGGACTATAGGCGCCTGCTACAACACCCGGGCCTTTTAGTTGCAGTTCGGCCAGGGCCAGGTTTGAACCTGTCACCCTTGGCATATGGGGCCGGCGCCCTACTCACTGAGCCACAGGTGCTGCTGGAGTGCTTGAGTTTAATAACAGCCAAGTATGGAGAATCCTCAAAGAACTCACACTAGACCCCCCCATTTGACCCTGTATTCCTATTACTGGGCATCTACCCAGAAGAAAAAAATCATTTTACCACAAGAACACTTGCACTAGACTGTTTACTGCAGCTCAATTTATAACTGCCAAATTGTGGAAACAACCTAAATGCCCACCAATCTGGGAATGGATTAATAAGTTGTGGTATATGTATACCATGGAATACTGTTCAGCCACTATAAAGGATGTGACTTTACATCTTTTGTATTAATTTGGATGGAGTTGAAATACCTTCTTCTTAGTAAAGCATCACAAGAATGGAGAATTAAGAATCCAATGTACTCAATTCTGATATGAGGACAACTGATGCCAGTACATGGAGGGGGAGGGGAACGAGGGATCGGAGAGAGGGAAGGAGGGAGGGGTGTGGGGCCTTGGTGTGTGACACACATCTTGGGAATGGGACACTATTATTAGACGGACTTTACCCAGCAAATGCAAGCAGTGTAAACTAGCTCTTTGTACCCTCAATGATTCCCCAACAACAAAAAATAAGAATTACGATAATTAAAAAAAAAATCATTCTATGCTTCTAAAAAAAAAAGATCAGCCTGAGTAAAAGCAAGACCCCATCTCTAAAAATAGCCAGGCATTGTGGCAAGCACTTATAGTCCCAGATACTCGGGAGGCTGAGGCAAGAGGATCACCTGGGCCCAAGAGTTTGAGTTTGCTGTGAGCTATGATGCCATGGCACTCTACCCAAGGCAACAAAGTGAGAATGTCTCAAAAAAAAAAAAAATTGGCCAGGCGTTGTGGCAGGCACCTGTAGTTTCAGCTACTTGGGAGGCTGAGGCAAGAGAACTGCTTAAGTCCAAGAGTTTGAGGTTGCTATGAGCTGTGATACCACGGCACTCTACTAAGGGTGACACAGTGAGACTGTCTCAAAAAAAAAAAAAGACCCAGAAATAATAAATGTAAAGTATGAAAGCATCAGTAGACTACTACAGCTTCACAAATTAAATTCTGAATACAGATATACTTTTTTTCTTTATTAGTTACTCTTTTTCTCTAGGAAGAGCAATTATCTAAAACTTTACAACTACTTTTAATATTAAGGGTATTTATTCCTTTCTGCTTAGGTCTTTGACTCAGTAAGAAAAATGATGGCTGTATGCTAGTGTAATAGTCACCAAACAATTATAATAATTTGTCTTTCATAAGAAAATTTCTACTTCTGTTATGTAATAACCTATATTGAAACCTATTTCCTAAAATGTTGCTTTTGTTTTGTTTTGTTTTCTTTTTTTGAGACAGAGTCTTACTCTCTTGCCTGGGCTAGAGTGCCAGGACCTCAGCCTAGCTCACAGCAACTTCAAACTCCTAGGTTTAAGTGATCATCCTACCTCAGCTTCCCAAGTAGCTGGGACTACAGGCACATACCACAGTGCTGGGCTAATTTTTCTATTTTTAGTAGAGATGGGGTCTCGTTCTTGTCCAGACTGGTCTTGAACTCCTGAGTTCAAGCAATCCACCTGCCTCGGCCTTGTAGAGTGCTAGAATTACAGGTGTGAGCCACGCCTGGCCAATGCTGCTTTCCTTAGACTGGTTACTTTACAGAGACTAAAAATCCCTTGTTCTGTTATATTCATCCCATATCCAATAAGACAACCATTATCTTTCAAATAAAAATTCAACTTACTCCACTTTTGAACTACATGATCCCTTGAAGGTCCTTAGAACTCTGTGATTCTATGACCCAGTAAGAGAACCCTCAGTACAGTCCAGAAACCAGCTTCAAAGCTAGTTCCTGTAACCATTTGACTAAATTACTTTTAGCCCAGGCCTGAGAAATGAGAGAAAGCACAGCGCCAACAGCAGTAGTATAGATACTAGGGCCAAAATGCCACCTGGACATTTCTGCTCTAAAGCTCTATACTCTTTTCTAACTCACTAGGATTAACACTACCCTCTCATTTGTTCTCATCATAGATACAGAATAGAATTTAGGAAGCTTGGGCCAAACGAGAGAGGGCCTGACTCCCATGTCAGCTCCTTCAAACAAGGGCTAGAGCTGGACTGGGTGGAGCTGGCTATGGCATTTTGTTTTATGTCCACACTCAAGAATGCAGATGATTCCCTCTGTTGTACTCACTTGTGGAATACTGCAAATAAATAGATAAAATAAAACTTAATTAACTTGCAGCATATTACAAATTCTTCTGAATTGGAAAATATTTTAAAATAAATTCAACTTCATTATTTTCAAATATAGACATGCATCACGTAAAGATGTGGATATGTACATTCTGAGAAATGTCATTGGGCGATTTCATCTTTGTGGTAACATCATAGAGTGTACTTCTACAAACTTAGACGGTATAGCCTGTTGTTACTGGGCTACACACCTGTATACCAGGTCACTCTGCTGAATGCTGCAGGCCACTGTAACATAATAGTAAGCATTTGTGTATCTAAACATAGAAATGGTACAGTAAAAATATGGTATTATAATCTTATCAGACCACTGTCATATATGTGGACCATCATTGCCCAAAATGTTATATGGTGCATGATTCCATACATTCTAGAGATGTTCTTTGGGGAGTCACAGGCTCAAGATATTTTGACTAGAGTGAAAGGCAATGTTGCTAAAGGTGTTAAGAATTCTTAAAAGTTTGCATTCCCAAGTATTTTAAAATCTGCTCAGAAAATTTAGACTAATGGCTGAGACCTGGCATAAAGAAAGATTTGCTGAGCAAAGTGAACATTCATTCTTATGTTGTGGAATGTCTCAAGTCTTAAGCTACATTATCCTAACAGCTCACAGCTTAATTTACAGGCCTTTTTGTCTGAGTCTTATTGTTAGAAGTATCATCTTCCTCCCTAAAGGAAAGTACATTTAGTGGGGGAGGAAATTATCAGTACATTTTTTGTGGCTTTTGGTTGATCAAGCTTGAATGTGTTTTCAAAACAGGAAATCCAGAGACTCTGCAAAGGATTCCTGCCTGTGTGTCAGTTTCCTAGGCTGGTTTTCAACTTGATACAGGTTCTTGATATTAAAATTACATAAATAATTTCAGAAGTTCTCTTTAGATGTGATAACCCATCATTAGGAGAAAAAAGGATTGGCTACTAATAAACATGTTGGGAAAGATAAATGAAGGAAGCAAGCTAAAAATAAAAGGTCATACCATAACAAAGGCATAATTAAAAAAGCAAATTCCTACATTCCTTGTAGCTAGTCTCTGAGCAAGACAATAAATGAAAGAACCAATGTTTGTGGCCACCTAGTAGGAAGGTAAAACATTGTGATGGCTTAAATAAATACTTTCTACTTTATATATGAACTAATCTTCTTTTCTGGAAAATCTAACTCTTCAAAATTGAACCTGAGCAAGCACTACCTACAGTACCATAAAATCTCAAACTGATATGCATGCATACACATACACCCCTCAGTTTATATGTGTATAAAAAAACACCACCTGGCTCGGAGCCTGTGGCTCAAGTGGCTAAGGCGTCAGCCACATACACCTAACGTGGCGAGTTCAAATCCAGCCCATGTCCGTCAAACAACAATGATGGCTACAACCAAAAAAAATAGCCAGGCGTTGTGGTGGGTGCCTGTGGTCCCAGCTACTTGGGAGGCGTAGGCAGGAGACTCGCTTGAGCCCAGAAGTTGGAGGTTGCTGTGAGCTGTGATGCTATGGCACTCTACCCAGGGGGACAGCTTGAGGCTCTGTCTCAAAAAAACAAAAAAACCCACCACCTGTAATATTGTCAGTATCTGGAATGTCAGAGCAAAAGGAGGTATTATAGCCTATTGGTAGGTTAACTGGTTTCTAAACTTGTCCGCTGGTGGGACAAGTTCTATAGACTGCTGACAAGAACTCTTACCACTGCCTGTGGCTCCTTCAGGAGCCTCTCTCCTGGTGACGATGCAGATGTCCTGGCTTCCACAGATTCAGGTACTCT